CTCGACGGGCCCGTGCTGATGGCCTGGAAGGAGTTCCTGCCCCTGGTCCAGGATGGCGGTGGTGGTGGTGGTTCCTCCCGTTCTTCTTTTTTTCTTCCTCCTTCCTCTGCGTGCGCTCTATCCGTTTCTGTCTTCCAATAGTCTGGCGCTTTTCTTGTTTTCCTCCCGGGGTAGCAGATGTCACAGCGACCAACTGCCGGACGCAGGGCTGCGATTAGCCCGGCGTCCAGGGCTGCAGAACCTACGAGAAAGTCTCACCCATGAGACAGGTGGGCATATTTCGCACAGTAGGTTTTGCATTTAGAGTTGTGTGAAGTTTCTTGTCACTGTTATCCGATTTGGCTCAAGGGGAAAACATGTACTGCCCCTGCTGCTGCCACAACTGCAAATCGAAATAGTAATGACCCATATTGCTGGATTAAAGAATCGGAACAATTGGAAGCTGAAATTCTCACTGCCAGATCTGTGATTTGAACAACACGTGCAATGCTTTAATTCTGTGGCCGAGGGTTGAAAAAGTGATATTGAAGAAAAGGCTGCGGTTCTTCAACTTTACGGTTTTGCAACCCAGAGATGCCAGTTTTCATTGTTTCAGTCCCGTCGTGTTCGCATGTCAGGTTTTACCTGTTCCTTCGTGTGTTCGTTTCCTCCGTCTTCCTCTGCCTTCCCGTCTCCCGCGACCCCGGCGGCCGAGCCAGCCGGGCGAACCCTACCAGGGTGGGGCGGCCTCGGGCGGGCGTAGCGGGCTGGGCGACCAGGGCACGACAGTGAAGAGGCGGCCGGGATGCTCCACCTGAGGCCACACTGGCGACGTTCGCATACGGTCTTGGCATCGCTCAGACGTGTGACTTTTTCTCTCGGCGAGGACCATCGAGGAGCATCCTTGATCATCTGGCGAAAAAACCACGCACGAAACCGAACAAAAACACAGGGAATGGACGTCCGAGCGATGGCGAGCTGAGGCCACCCTGGCGACGTTCGCATACGGCAGGTGCGCGTCGTGTCGACCAGCGGCGACCCCGCCGCCGGCGTTCAACGTTTCGCGCCGCGGGCGACCCAGAATCGGTCGATGCTGACGGTCTGACGTTTCGGGAAAGGCCGATCGTTCAAGGTTGAACGATGCCCGCGGTGTCAGGAACCAACGCCGCGGTCGACACGAAACAAACCCGCGGTATGGGCGTCACACCCTTTTCGGCACCTCTCGCACGCTTCGTGGCCCCATGGGAGCTCCCACCTAAGGCCCCTGTAGCGACGTTCGCATGTGGGCGTAACGTTTGTTTCGGCACACCCCGTCACACGTTTCGTGCTCATATACGGAGATCCACTTAGGCCCTCAGTGGACATGTTCTCGTGTGGGCGTCACGCCTGTTTCGGCACGCCTTTCGCATGTTTCGTGGCCCCATGGTGAGCTCCACCCAAAATCCACGTTCGAATGTGGGCGTCACGTCCGTTTCGGCACACCCGCACACCGCTCGTACCCACCTCGGAAGCTCCACCGAACGCCCCGGTGGCGCCGTCCGCATGCGGTTCACGCCCAGTCTGGCACACTCCTCACGATCTTGTGCCCCCACAGGACGCACGGATTCCTGTTTCACAACTGAATGGACTAGTGGGCTTGCACGCAGCAGGCAAGATGCCAGTCCCTCTGCCGTGCCTTGAAAAAGCCTATGCAAAGTGATCGCGGGGCGCCCGCGCATGGTTAATGTTCAGGCCAAAATGTCATTTTGCATTTTTTTTGTTACATGGGATGGTCGAGGGTGTTGGCATTGCACACAGCAGGCAATATGCGGCCCCCCTCCCCCCGCCGTCCCTGTAGAAAACACACGAATTCAAAGTGATCGCGGGGCGTCGGCGCATGATCCATGTTTCGGTGGAAAGTGCATGTCGTATTGTTGTTTGCAAGGGATGGTGGAAGGGTTGGCATTGCTACGGTTTTGTCGCCGGTCGGGTGGGGGAGGGGGTGTTTATTGATAAGGAACGGTGAGCAACCCCTTCCCGAAGGGGAAGAAGTGGGTTGGAAGAGGAAACGTGCCAGATCATCTCCGGCCAGAGAATTTGTGGGAGCGTCAGGACTTGGAGTGAGACTGTCAGGTCTTCGAGTTGGTCTGATTCAGATGCAAGTTCGATTCGAGTCAGCTCTGCCCTTCTTTACCATCTTCACGTGTCTGCTCTATCGCCAGCTCGTTTCAAGCAGTTTGGGAGCTCCGAAAAGCGAGTTCGATTAGCAATTCCACCGTTTCGGCTTTGTGTCGACGCATGTGTGTCATGCGCTTTTGCGTTGATGCCGCACCACACTTGAGAGCGCATGCTTTCGCCCAGACACTGTCCGAAATATGATCGAAGACGTCCGAAGTAGAGTCGAAGACGCCTACGGCAATCACCGCCGCCCCCTGCCTTTTGGAAACGCCCATGCAGCCAAACGTTGGGCCGAAATCTTGCCAAGTCATTGGACGAATTATGTGTTCCTCCCGTCATTCAAGAAACCTTTGGGGGAACACGTGGGAGCGGAAGAGAAAGGAAGAGGGATGGAGGAGAAGGAGGACGAGAAGGAGAACATGGAGGAATAAGAGGAGGCCCCTTGAGGCCCAGTTAGGGCCGCCTGGGGGCTTCCTGGGAGCTTCCCTGGGACCTTTTCCGGGGCCTCTTCGGAGCGTCTTGGGGCCTTTTGGGGGCCATTGGGAGCCTCTAGGGGACTTCTTGGCCTTCGGAGGCCGTCTTGGGGTCCTCTCGGGACAGTCGCGGGTCCCTCGTTGGGCGCTTTAAGGCGGCCTCTTGGGGGCTTCTGGGACCGTGTTGGGGCGATCTGAGGTCCTCGTGGAGCCTTCTTGGGCAGTCTTGGAGGCCTCTTGGCTCTTGGGCCATCTTGGGTGCATCTTGGGCCGTCTTGGAAACATGTTGCGTCCATCTTGGGCCCTGTCGGGGCCATCTTGGCCGCCTTGGGCGAACTCGGAGGCCACCGTGGCGCATCTTGGCCGTAATGGAGGCGGGCGTTGTGCAAATGTCAGGTCGTCTTGGACACGGCTGCGCGTCTGGTCGAGACCCCACTGGGAATTTGGTCGGAAGGGCAAACACATTCCGAGGTCTACCGTGTTTGGGTCTTTCTCAAAAGATCATTCAGAAGCCTATTGGGAGGCCTCTTGGAAGCTTCTTCGGGGCCTCTTGGCCGTGTATAAGTGGCGTTTGGGGGGTCTCTTGGGGTCTCTTGGGGGCCTGCTGGCGGTCTCAGAGGCCATCTTGGAGGAGCGAGCTCGGCATGTCAATCAACGATCCCCGTCTTCGGGCCGTCTTGGGGGCATCTTGGGTACTCTTGGGGACCTCGGGGCAGTCTTGCAGCGGTCTTGGCTCCTGGGCCATTTTGCACGATCGTCCCATCGAAAAGGCCAGCGTCAAAATCATCCTACGATTTTGGGCCTCGTGGGCCAGTCCCAGGGCCTCCAGGACGGCTGGAGAGGCCCCCAAGAGATCTCCAGAACGGGCCCCGTGGGCCATAATTACTAGGTTACTAGGCCATGCTGGGAGTGCGCACCCCCGACCTCGAAGAAGAGAAAGTGGCTCGGGGCTCAAGAGACAGGGGTCAATGCAAACGGGGGCCAGTCAGAGCGCTGGGTCTTGCAAGACCCCGCATGGCCAGGGCCGCATTGACCCAGGCTTGGGTGCAGGGTCAAGCAGGACCCTGCAGCTTGGCATCGCTCGGATGTGTGTTTTTTTCTCGGCGAGGATCATCGAGGAGCCTTTGGGATCATCTTGCGAAACAAGACACGCACGAAACCGCAAAACGCAGGGGGAATGGACGTCCGAGCGATGGCGAGCGCAGGACCTTGCAGGACCCTGCAAGGCCTGACTGACCCCGGTCTGAATTGACCCGGGTCAGTAGGTCCCCGAGTGGAACAACACTGTTTGCGTCGGCGGCTAGGCAGGGATCGTTTGCGCTGGCGAAGCCGGGGCGCCGTTGTAGCGAATTGGCCGGCATGCGAGAGCGGGGAAATTTGGACAGGACGGGCGGCCGCGGAGGGGTGGGGTGGAGCAAGGACCGAGTGGCACAACACACGAACTTCCGGAGGTCCGCACGGACGTCTTGGATCAGCGCCCGGGCCCCCCCCGGCGGCGCCGACGCCGCCCCCCACGCTCGGGGTGGATGGAGGCGGGAGGGCTTCTTAGAAGGAGGCTGCTTCGTAGAAGGCGCTGGCCCCCCCATCTGTAGATCAGGCCGGCGCCTTCCAAGAAGAAGAAGAAGAGATGTTTCTCAGAAGCCCTCCTCCTCCCCCTACCCCCTTCTGCGCGTGGCCGACTGTCATTATGCGATGATCCCTGTCTTTGACGGGTCTTCTCTGGGGAGGGGAGGATCGAGCGCCGATCCAAGAAGGCCGCGCGGACCTCCGAGAGTTTACACGCCGGTCGTTGGAAGTATGTATTTCTGTATTCCCAGATCCATATCTACTTCAGGCGCCGTCTTATCGCAAGAGTCAATCCACTTTTACTGTGTTGTGCTATTATTTACAAGGGCCTGACCCAAAACTACTTTCTCCGCATTCCTACTTCATGTTTTCGCAGACTACTTCCGACCGACTGGAATGCTTGCACATGTCTTTTCCCTCTTCTACAGACCGTCATGGCCACGTTGGAAGTGCGCTCCCCCACCCGCTCTCCCGATGCCGCCTGAGAAGACACGCGACGCGCCCCGAGAGCCCCCAGCAGCGCACGGAAATCATGGCCCTGTGCCCTTTCGCGGACATTCACAACACTTAGCACAGAGAGTTCGCAGGGACCTGAGGACACTCCACTCAGTGCCCACGGCGCAGTGGTGGATACATGTGAAAGTCACGTTCTACTTGCGTTCGCACCGCTTCATTATTTCGATGAAGTGGACAGGTGTAGGCGAGACGGAAGATGAATAATATTCGGATATTGTTCGTTTTCTCCACTTCCCAGCTACATGTTGTAGAGAGGGCGACTTCAGTGCTGTTTTGGGAAGGACGGGCTGCTATATCACCCCATTGCAGGACATGCGGCCGTACTACTGGCCAGCGAGAGCCACCAATCCGCATGACAGAGCATGGCGGCAGAAATCGAGGAGCCAGGGACAGCAGCGATGCCTTGGTTGGTGATACGAGGTAAAGGATGGAGGGAGCGGAGCGAGATAGCCCCCTGACCAGCGAGGGCTAACCTTGGTCATCCCGATGCCGTGATTGATTGAGTGGAACGAATATGCCCAGGCAGGGATGCAACAGACGGAGGCGAGCAAATCGGATGAGGGCACCAAGAAGGAGAAGGATGAGGAGAAGAAGTGAGGAGGAGGGAGGAGGAGGAGGAGGAGGAGGAGGAGGAGGAGGAGGAGGAGGGAGGGTGCAGGAGGGAAGAGGACGGGACGCGCTTACGCCCTGGCTTTCGTTTTTTTGCATTGCCCCCGTACGTATACAGGCGGCCCTACAGGTGCGAACAGACATCGTGCGATGTTTCATGGCGCCATATCGTCGTCACACGGGTAGCTATCTTTATATAATTCGTAGCACACTGGATGATATTGTCATCATGTCCTGGTTATTAGATATGCATGCCGTGGGTGCAGATGATCATCCCAACAGCACTGCAGATCTTCCTGTTTCCGTGCGGCCTTTGGGCGAGGGCCGCTGCCTGCGCCTCTCACGGAGGAGGAGGAGGAGGAGGAGGAAGAGGAGGAGGAGGACGAGGAGGACGAGGAGGAGGCGAGGAGGCAATCCGCAGACTTGAGGTGAACACTTGGAGCGTGCATTTCCTCCTTCTCCTCGACCTCGTCCTCTTCCTCCTCCTCCTTCTCCTTTTCCCCCTCCTCCTCCTCCTCCACCTCCTCCTCCTCCTCCTCGTCCTCCTCCTCCTCCTCCTCCTCCTCCTCCTCCTCCTCCTCCTCCTCCTCCTCCTCCTCCTCCTCCTCCCCCTGGGCACAGCAAAGGAGGCGGACGCGATGCTTTCGCCCCACCGCGGGGCCGCTGTCTCCGTCAGGTGACTTACCTGACACCCGACGGAGACAGCGGCGAGCTGCAGTGAGCGGCGTTCTTGAACGTTTCCCACGACAACATGCGCGCGGCCCGCCCTGCGCCGGCCCCGGACGAACCGGCAACCGAGCAGGGGGGCGCGACGCCTCCGTGCGCGGGCCTCGGACGAACCGGCAACGGGCTGCGGGGGAATGGCTTGGGCCGGCGGGCGCAAGGCCTTTGTGCCTTGAGCCGAGGAAGAGGCCTGGGCTTCCACCCTCCCCCCCCCCCCCCCCCACGCTATTGAAATATGCAGTTTCCGCCCGCGTTGGACGGATGTCACAAAGCCTCGAGCTCTGCAATCTCATAGATAAGATTACCAATCTTGCATCTCTCCTCGGCCAACCTGGAACCCACGGTTTTACCCCACTTGGGGGCTACAGGAGGGCACGGGGAGGTGAGGCCTCTGGCGAGCCTCTTGGAGCTGAAAAAGCAACAACAACATGCATCTGATTTGTGTTTTTTGCACGTTCCTGCAACGTGGGCGGCTGGGCCTTGACGAGCGCAAGAGGGGGAGGGGCCTCATAAGCTCGGGCTCGACGCTCACGATGCAGGCAGTCTCTCTCAGACAATACCGCCCCGACACTGGACACCCAGACACCCAAGCCCTTGACGAACTTCTGATGTTGCTGGGTGAGCTGACGAAAAGCCACGGGGGGTCTCCTCTGATGAGCACGAGACTTGGCAGCAAGGTCGGCCAGCTTGTTACCCTCGGCGAGACGAGCCATCTGCACTACGTCCAGGACCCGCTGCCTCTTGACGTGATTGCGGACTTTGGCCAGGGTGAATCCAGCACCCCAAACGTGAAGATTCTGCAAAACAAGCCTCCAGAGGTGGGCCCAGGCATGCCCTGCGGAAGTGGTGCGGTCCTCCCCCAGTAGGTTGACGCCCTGGACCACAACGCTGGAGTCAGAGAGAATCGCAACAGGAGGTACGGCGTGAAGCAAAGCAATGTACAATGCTGACAGCTCGGCACCGTCAATGTCCTGATGCGGCCCTTGACAAAATCCCGCAACAGTACACCCCCCAACCTCAGCCTGCGGATGCAACGCAACAGCTGCGAAGCCTGCCACTGGATAAAGCGGTAACTCCTCGAAACAGGACCCGTCCAGGAAGATGTCCCCAGTGAACCTCATGGGGTCCCCTTGCCAGTGGAGGTAGGGCTGCATTGGGAACTGAATCAGATCGGGCGGCACAGCTGGTTTGGCAAGCGCACGTCGCTCGAGGAATACTTCAAAAAGCTTGTTGTCGTTGGCCTTGTCGGCAAAGACACGAGCGGCGGCGCGGGCGCGACAATATCGGAGATATGCTCACACTCCGCACGCCTGCGGGGGAGTGCGCCTGGAAAGGATTCACAGACCATGCAGAGGGGGACCTGGATCCAGACGTGATCGAACTGTCTGGCCTGAGGCCACTGGGCCCCGATAGCCACCGAAGGTAATTAGACGGCCTCTTGGGCTCTTGGGCCGACAGCAGCCTGGAAGTATAAAGCGAAGGCAACGGCTCGATCCAGATGCCCTCGAGAAACTCAGGAACCTCGAAATGCTCGGAAACCTTCTGCATTCGCCAGGAGACGATGGCCCTCTCGACCAGCGCCTGAACGGGCACAGCTGGGCGGGGTCGATCGCCTGGCCATCCGGGGACTTCCAGGAATACAAACTGCCGGCATCAATACCCACCTGATTGATGGGGGGCCAGAGCGCGGAGAAGGGCCCCTCGATGGCCTGCCAGGGGGAGCTGCGGGGTCCCAGACGAGCGGCAGCAGCGGCTAAACCTGTCTCGAGGGTTTCGGTGGGCATGAGTGCCCTCCAGAGCACGCGCATGAAGGCCTTGACGGGCTCCAAAGTGGCACGATAGATGGGGTCGAAATTGGGGCTCGGCACGAGGGGCAAGGCCAGCGCTCTGGATCTGCCAGCAGCCTTAGCACCAAGAGACGCATCAGCCATAGCACGGAGAGTCTCAAGCTCCCCCACGCTAGTACCCTGAACAGCCGTGCCAAGTGTGACCGCGGTCTCGATGGATGCGCGCGCCATGTGCTGCAGTGTCTTCTTGCGCGCATGCGCTCCTTGCAAGTGCATCATGCGCTTGAGCGTCGCCTTTGCAACAGGCATGCGAGCGGCACGCGCGGCGCCTCGCCGCTCTCAATAGTTGAAAAATACACCCGGAGGTTGCGCCCCGAATGTGCCCCAAGAGCCTTGACGGCTACAAACCAGGACTGCAGGAGGCGCTGAATAGCTGGGGTGCTGGCCAGCACTCTGGATTTATCAAGGGCGATGACAAGGTCGACCCGCTTCAGCTCACGCTCAAGCAATGCACCAGCCCCAGGTGCGCCATCCATGACACGCTCAGCAGCACCACACCTCTGCAGCCCAATATCATCAACACATGCCGCAATAGGTACCGCGGGGAAGTCTCTGCGAACCTCATCGAGGGGCCCAACCAACATGAGCTGAAGGAGGCAGGTCGCAAAAAGGCAGCCAGGCATAGTTGTCTGATCGACCGGGGTGGGCTCGCGGCCGCATCGCCGACCGAATCGGCGCGGCACCCAGCCCACCCCGCCTGCAGCCAAACCGATAACTCCGAAGATTTCCCACAAGTGGCCCACCAGAAGTAGCGACAGTTACTTTTTTGCCGCCGCTGATGGAGGTCGCGCCTGATACGCGCTTGCACGCGACAGAGACAATGGAGTAAGCGAAGCGGGCGTACTCCGCCAAGCCGCTTTAGAATGAACACCAGTCTGGTAGTCATAGGCGACCAGGTGACCCGGCGCTCAATCGCCGAGATGAGCCAGCAGAAAATCTCGAGGGCTTCGTCAGGGAGCCTCAAGAGTTTTCTTGGCTTGGCGGCAGCTGGTCAAACCCACGCCCCGCCCCCGCAGGATACGCGCCCTGGACCCTTTTTCAGGTGGTCCAGGGTCGGGGTCGGGGTCGGGGGGGGGGGGTCGTTCACCGAGGTCTTCGGGCCAGTGGAGGGGGGATCTTTGGCTCCAACCCGCCACCTTTGCTTCCACTCGGCCACGGGCGCAGCCATCTCCTGCACGCTGCTGGCGGGCACGCACTGCGCAACAGGACAAGACTGCCATGCATCGGGAAGATGCACGCATCGAAAAAGTGCTGCCGCTCCGTTCACTGAATGCTGCTTGACCCACTGCCCCCAGCCCGCCTTCTCATGCGCGGCGCACTCTCGACATAACAGAGTAGCATGCTGACTCGCAAGTGCAGACAGACAGACAGCGAGGGAGAGGAGCATGTCAGGGCATGCGGCAGATGCAGACGGCGCATTGGCTCGACGCGTGCTTCGATCCGTGAAGACGACGGGCTGCCCGACAGAGCTGCAACGTCCCGGAAGACATGCATGGTTTAACAAATTCCGAAAGCAACGCCCCATCGGAGCGCCACCATGTGGCCACAGGGCTAACCCTCGGGAAAGCAGGCGGTCCATGTCGCCCAGGCTTATTCTAGGACAACTCGATCTGGCCCCCTCTCCCCAGATAGCTCGGAGCAGCTTCTTCATCCATCTGGTATACCTCGAGAAACTCAAGTTCCGCAGCCTGGACAAGGGACTCCCACGACGCCGGGATGCCCCCAGACTGCGCGTCCACGACCACGCGATCCCATGGGCCCTCAGCGGGCCGATTCCTGGGCCCCGCGGGGACCTCAGTCGGGAAGCGCTTTGGAACCTTCGCAATCCTGGCACGATACGAGTCGCGCGTACAAGCCAGCGTGAGCTGGACAGGGTAGTGCGGCGCCGTGGCCACCTTGCGAAGCACAATCGCATGGGATCCAGCTGCGAGCTCGCGGCTGACGACGTAATGGTCAAGAACTCGATCTGCGGGGCGGCACGTCCCTTCTTCTGCAGCAGCGATGACTGCGCCCAGGGCTGAGACCCAGCTGCTGTAGTCTAGCACCTGCGGCTCCTGATTAAAGTCACCCATCATAACATAAGGCATTACGATAGCTTTTAACTCTGCCCCCAGGTCACACAGGATGTTCCAGTTTTGCTGGGGAAGACCAACACTATGATGCGAATAGAAACCACAACTCCCCCAGGTAGAACGCCTTCAAGATGCAACAAACCAACGCGACCAGGCACCAACACATCCGA